ATGGATATTATTGGTGTCCCTAATGTTGCAGTATGTTGGCAACTTAGTTTGTCATTCGTTACATATTATGCTAACACCACTTCCCTTTTAAGTTTATCCACACATTTACTTTGTTCACACTTCTACCCTAATTTGAAGCATCTTAGGGTTTAAGTGAGGAATTTTATTTTGTCACTCTCAACGCACACGTGATATCGTGACTGCTTACTCTAAACTAAAATTGAACAACTCTATGTCTTAGGTTTTAAAAGAATGAATTCATAAAAATATATATACTTATATTGCACCTTTTTCAAGCGCATTGGAATTCATATATATATATAGGGGCTGGTTCAAATAAAAACTAGTGCTGGTGTGAGAACCGTGAGAGCCATATTTGATGTTATTTTTAACACACATGGTGCTATCATTTTCACAAATGCTAATATAAATTGTGTTGCTATTTTTAATACAATAAATCTATGTTAAAAATAGCACTAAAACACATTTAATCATAGCACTAGGTGCAACTAAAAATGCGGTTCTCACGGTTCTCACGCTAGGACTTGGTTCTCATTATGTTGGAATTCATATATATTATATATATGTTGGAATTCATATATATTATATTGCCTTTAGAGTCTTGGAAACAACGTTCTTAATGATTCATTTACTGCAGGCTGAGGCAGAGCTGATTTATTCTATTGTCACCTTTTTCAAGCGCATTGGAATCACAGCATCAGATGTTGGGTTTAAAGTTTCTAGCAGAAAGGTGTATTTACCTTTTCTTTTCCTCCAAACATTATTCAAATTGTGGAGCTTACAAGTTACATGATTCTGTGAAGCGTCTTGTTTTTAACAGAGAGCAGTATATTAAGCATTTACAAAGGAACACTGATATGCTGCCCATGTACTGTACAGGTTTTGCAAGAAGTTCTAAGACGTTACTCCGTACCAGAAAATTTATTTGGCAGGGTTTGTGTAATAATAGATAAGGTTAGTGACAATGAGCATGAGGTGTCTGTGATCTCAATTCATTTTATTTTTTTCCCGATTTCTGCTACATTTGTGCTTCTTTTCCTCTTCCTTCATTTCTTATGTTTTGTGTGTGTGTGTGTGTGCTTGATCAAATATTCAAATTCAACGCCAAGTATTAAGAAGGAAAAGTTGAGCATATTACATTCACATGATTTTAATAAAAACTTATTTATATCTACATGATGGGCTGACGAGCATACCCTCTGCAAGGAAAATGATCACTCCTTTAACAGACTCTTTGATTTTGCGTACAGTCATTACATGACCATATGGCTAAGAATATCAAACCTAGTATTTTTTGTTTGCAATCTATGGTTCTTAAGCTGTCCCTTTAAGTTGGGTTGCTGTATCAGCATGATGTATTTTAATTATAATTACAGAACTGTGGACAAAATGATGTAACCCAATGCTTTTCTACTGCTCCCCCTCCCTCTGTTATTTCTCTGTCCATCGTCTTCATGTTCCTTATTTACGTTTTTCTTGAATTCTAAACAGTTGGAAAAGATTCCCATAGATGATATCAAGAAAGAGCTGAGGTCTGCAGAGTTATCAGAAGAGGCTGTCGAAGAGCTATTGGAAATTCTTTCTGTGAAATCTTTGACAAAATTGGAAGGTCAGTGCAGCCAAATTTCGTGACCCTTATGAGTTATGATGACAATAATTGTATAATGATTTGATATTGTCAGCTGGAAGTGCATCTGTGAAGGGCAATGCAAGATTGACAGTTTTGAGTTAACGGCTTTTTTATATCTCAGAAATATTTTTGCCTTGGAGTTGATGCACTTTTCTTAAGTTAAATTTGATACATGTGCTAATCTTCTTGAAACAATTTGAAATGAAAAATCTCTAATTGGAGAGCTACAATAGCTCTTTTCATTTTAGACAGACTAAGTTACATATTACTCTTATAATTGATTGGATAAAATGGTGTCAGTGGTTGCTTGCAGGATATATCAGAAGTGGTCTTTAATTAAGTGAAATTGTTCTCAATTTTCATTTCAGAAATCTTACAGGCTTACATCTTTTTTCCTTTGACCTGGTTTTTGTTGAATTGTCTACTTCATGGTTCTGGTGATTGTCTTTTTTAAGACCTTTAGTTCTTTTTGGAGGAATAATTGTAATTTTAGCATCATATTTGTTTTCTTATGAATCATTTCAGTGAAACTTGGCGCTTCAGTGGAAGTCCTTGCTGATTTGAAACAGCTATTTTCACTTGCTGAAAAGTATGGTTACTCTGAGTGGATCCAGTTTGATGCGTCCATTGTACGTGGCTTAGCCTACTACACTGGAATCGTTTTTGAGGTAATATTGCATCAATAGAAAATTAATAAACACTATCTTGGTATTTGTCAATGGTGGTTCAGTTTGTAGGCATAACCCTGAAGTTTCAACCTAACGACATAGAACTCAATCATCTTTCAAACTTACAAATGCCCAACGAGGATTCGCAATTTGTAAAAAAATATCCATCTTCAAATTTGTAAAGTAGAAGTAAATATCAAGAGGATGTTTATAATTCTGAAATATAGCCATGTTTTTTTGTAACTAGACGAAGTCACATTGGTATCCGTTGGAAGGGATCATCACTTTAAGAAACCTTGAGGTTTGATCTACTTACAAAATAATTCATATTAGTAATGAAATTTCTGAAAGTACCCGAGGCTGGTTCAATGTTATAATTAAGGGCATAATGTTTCTATATGTGGAGGACATTTATTATTATTATTATTATTATTATTTTTATCTATTTGTTCATTTATTTTGGATATAAAAGTGTGTAAATTTCATTGGTTTTAGGGATTTGATCGAGAAGGAAAGCTGAGAGCAATTTGTGGCGGAGGTCGATACGACAGATTACTCTCGACTTTTGGTGGCGATGATCTCCCAGCTTGTGGGTTTGGATTTGGTGATGCAGTTATTGTAGAAGTCAGTACAATTTATTTATATTTTTATTATTTCACCTTATACATTGTTATATATATACATATATATATATATACACAATTCATTGACTTTCTCATCGTCTGTGGATTATAAAGCTGCTAAAGGAGAAGAGACTTTTGCCGGAATTAAGCCCTCAGGTAAGGAACATCGTCTGCTCATTGGATCAAGATTTGCAGGGTTCAGCTTCTTTAGTTGCTGCAAGACTGAGGGAAAAGGGCCAAAGTGTTGACTTGGTTTTGGAGAATAAACCGCTTAAATGGTAAGAGGTTTCATGATAGAAGTTTCTGAATTAACAAAAGAAAAGGGCATGAAGCCTAATGCACCAAACTCCAGTATACATTAGGGACCACAATTACACTCTTCGCATACGTTCTCATTTCCTAATCTGAACTGGGTATAAACATGAAAGACATCAAATCAAAGGGCGAATCTGTAGCACAGTGGTCTTTATTTGTGATTTCCAAGAGATAACTCAAGTTTTACTCTCCCACGAGAAAATTATCAATACTTGTGAACCCTTGTCCACATTAAAGAAGTGTTTTGTGTAACTTTTATTTTGTAAACTTTTGTATAGGTGGTTCGTCTGAATCTTAGTATTTATTATGTTCTTATACTTCTTTCGTATTACAGGGTATTTAAACGGGCGGCAAGAATAAATGCCGAGAGGCTGATAATAGTTGGAAGTGAAGAGTGGCAAAGGGGTATGATCGGCGTCAAAATTCTTTCATCTGGACAACAATATGAAATTAAAGTTGATGAACTTGAATAATGATACAAGGTATTTATAAATTTTCTGAAGCCTTTATTTTCTTCAGATATTAATGGAGAAGTACTCTTTTACATCTGAGAATTTAACAAGAGCCTTTTCTTGTCTGTTTTCCTCCTATTGTTGTGTGTCCTATGGTTGTGTGTGTGTATATGTGTATACAACTACAACAACAACATACCCACATACCCAGTATATTCCCAACTGGTTGGGGTCTGGGGGTCAGTTGTACGCAGACCTTACCCTTGTATAATTACAAGGAGGCTGTTTCCATAGCGACCCAAGGTGCATTGCGTCGTTTGATATATTTTTTTTTCTAGAAACTTCACTAATAGAAGAAGCACTAAGAATTTAATTGAGCCATTTTGATCTAGTCCATTATTAGCACCATGCCAGGAGAATTGCTGAATTGTCAGCAATGACTCTTCCAACTCCATTTGCAATTGACAAAATGTGTATATATATATAATTATTTTTTAAAATTTTTTAGTTTCTATGTGCTATACTACCATGGCTAATTGTGTTTTGCCAGACCAACTATAAAAAATTCCAACTTCACCCAATTTTTGGTTGGCTATGGAGGATGGTGCCACCCTTCATTTGATCTGAAGGTACAATGATGGTATGTGACCTTCAACTTAAAATGACAAAGCGCCAAAAACGGCGAGTTTAATGAATGCGATGCAATTAGCCCTAAATAACTCTTTAAAGATTGATTGTGCACTTAATGGAAATTAAATGTGAGCATAAGAACATCTCCAATGCTCAAATGTTCAAATTTTCTAGTGGTTAATTACATTCCACATCATAAAAAACTTAGCAATGTCACAACTTTTCATCCTACAATGTACAGTGTGATCACAAATCAAATGTTGTGGTGATGTGGACGTAATTAATGTAATGTAGAGGAGCATGTGATTCATTCGCATTCTTCTCCGTACTCTAGCTAGCCAATGAAGAGAGAAAATTATTCTTACCAATTTCAAACTATTTAATTATTTTCTTACTACAAATTATTTAATATTTGGTAAGTAGATAATACTGTAGTTCGAATACGTTGTGCATTGGAGATAATTTTTTAATTTTGTAGTTGTAAACTTAACATTTTTCCTACATAATTCACAATCTATTGAATTTATTGACATTTGTCAAAATTTATTCTATAAAAACATTGGAAACATGGGAAATGCTCTAATAGCACTAAAATAGTTGCCATTTATATCACTTCCTGGGATGTGCTATTAGGTCATGTTCGTGCATATTGTATTACCATTCAACCCTTCCCCATTTATATTGTATTTCTACTTTGTAAGTTATTGTTTTTGGGTCGTGCAGGTGAAGCCATTTTGAAATATTAATAGAAAGTGGAGAGAATGAGAACATTACTTAGCAATGGGGGACCCTTCAATTAGAGTTTTTAAACGAAACGAGTAGCTCGTGAACTAGGCTTGGCTCGGCTTGAGTTTGACTCGGTTTGTGAAGGCTTGAAAATAAGATTTTTTTTTTATATATATTTTTTATAATTCAGCTTGTTAAGGTTCGAGTTCGCAACATTAAAGTTTGAATTTGACTCGCCGTATTGATAAACGAATGGAATGCAATTACTTGCTCATTTAGTTCACGGGTCGAGTTCATCTCCGCTTGTTAATGGTGGTGCTCGAACTCGCCTCGGCTTGTTTACAGTCGACTTTCGACCCTAATCATTGGATTTTTCATATTGGAACTGTAATATCCCGAGATTTTATCAGTATAAATTACGTTTAATTCCGATATAGTAACGATATTGTTTATTATTTTCGGAATTAATTAAGTTCAGTCGGGATTACCGAAATCTATTTTCGACGTACCGTTTACGTCCGAAATAATTTTGTTAATTAAGTATTATATTTAATTGAATAATTAAACATAAGTGGAGTGATTAAATGATAATTAATCATCTTATTAGCCCTAATTGCCGTAACCTAAATTCTATTTAAAGTTGGGACTTAGAAAAATTTCCTAAATTATAGCATATAATGCCGTGGGTTTCTTCACCTTTGGGGAAATTAAGTTTCCTTCTCTAAATAGCATAAAACGTGGCGAGTTTTTAGTAGGATGAGTCATCTTCAAATTGCTAAGTTAGAAGCAAATGTCAAGATCTCATGTGGCCACGTCCCTTGCTTGTCATCAACACTCTCACGGCTGAAAATAAAAGGAAGGAGTTAGATCAAATTTTTCCCACCATTTCTCCTATAAGCACAATTACTATCTTCAGCATACATTAGCCCTCTTTCAACAACTATAAGTAAGGTAAT